GGATTGCAATACAAGATTTTCATTAGGCAGGTAAAGATGCGAGAGTGCTCGCTCAGATGGGCATGGATGATACTTTGTTACAGTTTGATAATATGCCTTCAATTTGGATGCAAGAAGAGAAACAATGTAAGAATGGAAAGTCCCTATCTTAAATTCATCTTCATCTATCAAATTAAATTATAGGTAAAGTTATTCAAACAGGGTTAGTGACAATAGGGGAAAAAATAGGTGTATGTGTTAGCACCTGTTTGGGTAATTTTTTTTTTAAACTGTCGAATCATTGAATGACACTTGGCCTACCTGTTTTTATGCCTGTCACTGACCTTGTTTTTGTAGCAAAGCTCTTAAATTCTTCAAGACATTCTAAATGAGAAAATTGCCGCTACGTTATGGTTCAATTGGAGCAGTTATGCATAATGAAAAGCCTAACCATTAAATTGCATCTGAAGTAGCGATTGTATTCTCACTGCATGACAGAAGGCGTGTCTATAGAAGATCACCTAATTGTCTTTAAGAAAATTGTCGTTGATCTAGACTCTGGAGATCAAATATGATGAAAAAGATTTATGGTTGATTTTGTCGTGTTCGATGTCTTCTTCATATGTCTTTCAGAGGCACTATTTTGTACAGTCGTGATACTCTCACCCTATATGAAGTATATGGTGCTCTATTTTCAAAGGAGAAGATGAAACAGTTTGTGTTTGGATTCGAGGCTCAAGCAGGGGTGGCCTTGTTGTTAATGGTGGTTATGTAAGGGACAGATCGAAATCTAACTACAACGATAAAATCTATAATTATTGTAAGAAAAAAGGGCACATCAAATTTGACTGTTGTAAGTGGCTGAATAAGGATAAAAGAGTTGTTGCAAATCAGAAGGAAAAATAAAAAATAAAAATTCAGGTGGAGTTTGAATTTGGTTCAAGGTCTATACTAGAGTCTACATTTCAATCTAGTTCAGAGGTTAAGGGTAGTTCCTTTTTGCCACCACTAGCCGCGACACCATAATATTCTATTACTAAAGACAGATACAGAAGAGATATTAGACATCTACTGAGGTACGGTGAGGCTGATTTATTTGCTTATGCTTTGAGTATGGTCGAATATATTGATTCAAGTGAAGAACCTTCTCCAGAGGCAGTTAGTTGTGTTGATTTTGATTTTGATTTTGTTGGAGATCATGATAAGAGAAGGTCTCTTACATGGTATATTTTTACTAATGGGATTTGTGCTATTAGTTGGAAAGTTGTTAAACCGTATAAGAGATTTGGTTCATTTATGCTAGCTCGGTGAAGAATTTAATATTTTTGTATGCAAAGTTGGTACAGAATATAATTGTGCTGATATGATGATCAAGTCACTCCTTGTAGTCAAGTTTGAGCATTGCTTGAACTTGATTGATATTTGTTGTTAAGTTTGCCCTTGTGGGCTTTTGTGGACGAGTGGGAGAGTGTCTTTTTTTTTATGTTGAAGAGTGAAGTTTTATTCTTTGCATTAGAATTCATGTAGTATGTCTTAAAAAAGTCAAAGATGGACAAGGAGAAGAAATTGGGTGAAGATCGCTCATTGGCCGCCTTTAGACCGCTTGAACAGGTTTTGTAGTGAGCGGACTGCTTGCTAACTGCTAGGCAACTGCTCGAGTGGTCATCATATATAGATGAAAATTGTTACAATTTGGCAAATTTTCACTCATATTCTACCTTAAACACTCCATTACTTGTTAAATATGTTATATTAGGACTCCACTTTGTTTTAGACTATTCTTTGTAATATAAATTAGAAGTAATAACATCTTTTAAAATCATCATTCACATATTGTAATCCTTCAATTTGTTATAGTGAATTTCTCTTTCTCTGCTTGTGGTTTTTTCCCATCTTAAATTTCCTATAAATCTTGTTTTCATGTTTGTTGACGTTAAAAAATGTATAGACAATATCCAAGCCAACTTTAGGGAATAAACACGAAATTGATTGATCTTTTGTTAATGGGTTACAAGAATGTTATATCATCATCCTCTTTTTCCTATTATAGGAGATATTTGAAGTCTCAAGAGAATGACCAGAGTCCTTTTTCTCGTCCCCTCCCATTTTCCTTTTATTGTGGGGTAATGCATGCACAGTGTACCTCCTGTCATGTCAACCTGCAATATCGAGCTAAATAAGTACACATGTTGGCGTAATAGGATTGGTTGCTGAGCTCGGCTCTATCAGTTTGATCATGAGTTACTGGTGCAGGTGGTCCCCAGCAATTAATGCATTACTTAAGAAGGGAAGCTAAGATTTTTGATTGGAGGATAATGTGGGCGCTGACGTAAGACCTTTCCATGTGCGTCCCTCTGATTGGTAGCCCATATATCCTATCAATGATTCTTAATCATTACTCATCATTTTTCCTTGAAGGATTACACAAGCTTCTTGAGTAAGCTACTCAATGTCCGAACTGACCTCGCATATCCTAGCTACACCAGTATTCCCTTACTGGGTACACCAATACGAACTAAGTGATGGAGGTCAGTATCAACAGTCACCTCGCATATCCGAGCTCACACCAGTATTCCCTTGCTGGGTACATCAATCCGAACTAAGTGACTCCGGAGGTCGGTGTCAACAGTTACCTCTCAAGTTAGTTCTGACCTAGGAGAGGGACTGACCTCCTATAAATAATTTGGCACAACTTCCAATTTTTGGTAATAATGACTCTGCATAAATGTCAGAAACACATGTCACCTTGTGAGCCGTGAAGCAACTTTCTTCTTCTTGAAGCATTGATTAACAGCCGTTGATAATTTAATTTTCCATTTAAACGGTTCAGATATGGTCCTTTTGACATTCCTCTACTTTCAAATAACCCTTTCACCTTTCACTCTTTTACTTTTGCATCTCAAGATTCCCAGATTTTGTTCCAAAATATTTTGGCTTTTTCTATTTTCTCTGAGTAAAGTCGTCATCTAGGTATTCTTTCTCCAATTAGAATACCTCTCTTTTTACGTATTTGTTTTCTCCTCTTTTTGCTTATATGAGTTCGGACGAATCTCGTGTGTAGTCCTGGGGAAATCAACAGAAAAAAGCTGCACCATCCTCGTCTACCCCGTCCTTCAATCCTTCTTCTGCCAGTTCGGACTGTCAGGAGGTTTTTGCCCCCGTCCCCATTGCTTCTTTTTATCCTCCACCATCCCCTCCCAACCCTATGTCGAACTCGCCAAGGAGTATGGAAGAACGATGTAAGATGAGAGAGGAGAGAGCAAAAGGGGAAAGTAGGAATAATGACCAAATATGGGGGGCACATTCTTCCAGATTGGTAATAACGACTGATTCTTTAGCTACGATTAGGGCTAAGTGTAACATCCCCCATTCTGTCGAGTTAGTAATCCTTTATTCCTCTGAATGGGCTACCACTCCCCCAACGGGATGCGTTTCTCTTAATACCGCTATTTTTCAGGCCGGTTTGTGGCTTCCTTTTCCCAAGATTATTCGATCATTCTTCTCTTCTTGGGGAATAGCTCCTACCGAGCTGTGTCCGAATGGGTGGAGGACCTTAGTTGTGACCTTGATCCTATGGAAGCAGTTAGGTTACCCTGAACTAGATGTATCCCAGTTTAATTCTCTCTTCTTTTTTAAGGAAGATGGGAAAAATACGGGTTGGTGGTACACTAGCATTAGGCCTAACACATGAGGACCTCTAGTTTTGGATACCTATTCATCGATCAAGGGGTGGAAAGAGGAATTTTTTTATGTTTTGGGGATTGACAGTTCCATCCTGATGAGGTGGATAAGGAGGTCTACCCTTTATTATTCTTTTTGTAAGTGATAGCTCATCATGTCTTCATACCTTTCATTATTTTGTTAGAAGTCTTGTTTTCCCTTGCTTCCTATTTTACAGTTTACCGACCTTGCCACCTGAGCTCGGCCATTCAAGAACGGGCTGACTCCATCCGAGCTCTTTACAACAGGGAGAGGTCTTGCAAGTTCGTGATTTCAGACGACGATTTATTTCAAGCAGGGCTACTCCAAGCTTTGCCTCCAACCTCGGCGCCAAGCAGACCTGCTACTTCAACTCTTGTTCCTCATCGTAAGTAAATTTAACATCTTCATCACTCATATTTCTTTTTGGCCAAACCTTAATACTTCATCTTTTCTGGTACATTTAGGCCAACAACTAGACATGTTAAACCTCCATGCTGCCAAAGTAGCCAAAGCAGCTGAAACTGCTAAAAGGAAGAGGGAAGGGATCGCTATTAAAGAGTAGAACCGACTTGAAGAGATGGAGTCAGAGCCTGAAGTTGAGCTGCCTTTGCAAAGACGGTGTTCAGCAGAATTGCCTACTGCACCTGCTTTTGCTGCCGCTCCGGGCTCGTCCATTCCTCTGGTGATTCTGATTGTTACTGCAACGTCTTCATCCAAATCTCAGGAGAAACGCCCCAATCTTCAAAGACCAGACATTGAAGGCTTGGTTGGGCACTGACCTGATATATTCTCGGACTTCCTTCAAACTCCTTCTCCTATAAGGGAGTTGGTTGCTACTTTTCCCTTGCCTCTCTGAGAGTCACTGTCCTTATGACAAGAAGTTGGAACGACAAGGAGCAGGGCTTCCTAGCGGAGATGCTCATAGGAGAAAGTGTCGTGTCAGCTCAGCTCAGCTCTACTGTCACTGAGCTATTCTTCATATGACTTCAGTGGCTGACAAGGTAAAAAATTTTGAAAAGTTTTTGATAAGAGTTCTCTTATTTTATTTCAATGTCTTAACTTTAACTTTATGCTCTTCAAGTCAAGGCTGAGCTTGATTCAGTGCTAGAGTTTAA